GGGGTGGGGCGAGGCGGGCAGGGCAGGGGCCTCGGGAGGGTTTGGCCTTGGGGACATGAGAGTCCCCTGCTCTGGCTGTTTCCTCTCCTTGGCAGAGTGGAGGCCCCACCGTGGTACGAGGGCTCCTGCGCCCAGGGGCGGGCCGTGTGGGCTCCTCACGCCCACCAGCCTCTCGGGTCCCGAGGGACCGAGCACAACAAGATGAGCGTCCAGGAGCCACAGGGCTCCGCCCCGAGCATATCACATGGTGCCGATTTGCACTGACCGCGTGTGGGTGAGTCACGCGCGGCCACGACCACAGACACGCGACACGCACGCAGCAGAGCGGGGAGGCGGCCGGTTCCCGCAGACGGCCAAGGTCCCTCCTGTCCTTATCACGACTCCGGGAGAAACTGTGCTGTACGATACAGATCTATTTTAATACACTCAACACTGGGTTGAACAAGATTTTTATATTCTTTTATCGATGAACAGGGGGAACCGCGTGAGGCGCGCGCCTCCCAGCCGGTCACGCTCTCTGCCGAGTGTGTGTCGCCGCGTGGCTCGCGATGCAGGTGTCTTCAGGTTCCTTTTTTATTGGTTGGTTTTTCTTCTTCTCGGATGGATTGCGTTAAATTTCGGAAAAATGTAATGGGAGGATATGAAAGGTTGGACCGGGAGGGGTAGCTGCCGACGTGTCTCGAGACTGTTAGTTTTTTTGGACTAAGGAGGCCCGTCCAGTGCATAGTGAGGATAGAGAAAAAGTGTTTGTCTTAAATATGCCAATGTAGTTTCCTGCTGTACGATGCATTAAACTCGACTGATGATCGCAAGCCCTGTGGCTCTGGTGTCCTTGCCTTCAGAGAGAGGCCCTGGCAGTGCCCGGAGAGGGAAACCAGGGTCCTGCCCCCGCCCCGAGGGACGGACAGAAGGAGGCAGGAGAGAGCCCACAGTGCCCTCCACATGCGGCCCCGCCCAGCCCCCAGACGTGGCAGGTGACCCAGTAGGGCCAGGAGTGATGGGGGAAGTCACAGGAGCTCAGCAGGCCAGTTGCTGTGCAGAGCCAAAGGTGGTGCCCTCCGCCCCTCGCTGGCTCCTGTCTCTCAGCGGCGGACACGCGGCTCCTCCAGCTGCCCGGCGTCCTCC